TTTTAATTATCCTGATTGGTGTTGGTGGACTAATATTAATAAGGCCAAATGCAATGGCTAGCTTCTCACTATGTCTAAACAGAGTACTCTCCTTCTCTTCTTCATCAACATCAAGCAAAACCTCATTTGTATCAGGTGTATAACCTTCCAGCTTTAATTTCATAGCCATTTGACCTAACATGTCCTCAATTGCATCCATGTCGGGGTGCGTTTTATCTCCAGCCAGAAACTCGTGAACGACTCCATTTGCTTCAATCATGCTACAACCAGGAGTCTTCAAAACTCTATGTTTTGTCATCATGCCCCTAATCTCAAGAACATCGTCCCATTTCCCTTTCGAAGCACATATGTTCGATAACAACACGTGGAACCCATCATGATCAGGTTGAAGTTCAATTAGCTTCCTCCCAACCCTTCTTCCCAGTTCACTATCACCATGTTTCTTACATGCCCCAAGTAAGGCACCCCAAGTAGCAACATCTGGTGTCATCGGCATACGATTGAGAAGCTCCTCGGCTTCTTGAAGCTTACCTGCACGCCCTAGAAGATCAACCATGCACCCATAGTGTTTAACATTGGGTCTTATCTTATGATCATAAATCATTGAATGAAAATGATGCCGCCCTTCATCTACTAAACCCATGTGTCGACAAGCACCAAGTACTCCCACAAATGTTATCTCATTAGGTGCTACATGACCTTTTTTCATATTAGAAAACATCTCAAGCGAGCTTTCTACCGACCCGTTCATAGCTAACCCAAGAATTAGAGCATTCCAAGTCGAAACCCCTTTCTCAACCATCCCGTCGAAAACCTCCAAGGCACTTTCAGCACATCCACACTTCATATACATGTCTATGAGAGTTGTACCTAGAATAACATTAACAGTGAGGCCGTTCTTTTTTATATAAGCATGAACCCACTTTCCTTGCTCGAGGGCAGCCAAGCGAGTGCACGCAGATATCACACTTACTAACGTGGTCTCGTCTGGTTTGAAGCCGTTCATTTGCATTTCCTGAAAAAGTGTGAGAGTCTCATAAAAAAGGTCATGTTGTGCATAGCCTGATATCATAGAACTCCATGACACAACATCCTTCTTGGGCATGGAATCAAATATGGCTTTGGCATTCTCAACTAAACCACATTTCAAATACCCCGAGATCATAGAGTTCCAAGATATCAAGTCTAGCAAGTAGGCTTCATCGAATAGTTTTCGTGCCTCCATTATATCCCCGAATTTGGAGTACATATGAATCAAAGCATTTTGAAGGTTTATATAAGATTCAATTCCAATTTTCAAGGCCAAGCTGTGGATCAATTTCCCCATATTGACAATCAGTAAGTTTGCACAAGCAGAAAGAGCACTAACTGTTACAACTTCATCCACCATTACACCAATTTTATGCATTCCTACAAATGTTCTCATAGCCTCCTCAAACATCTCATTTTGTTCATAGCAAGCAATTAATGCACTCCATGTAACCATATCTCTCTCAGGCATTTCATCGAACAGTTTACACGCTTCAACCACTAGTCCTTTGTTGCCAAACAAAACAATCATAGAATTCGAAGCAATTATACTCTTCTCTGGCATTTGATCATACATATACTTAGCCTCCTCTACATTCCCTACTTGAACATACCCAGACAAAATTGAATTCCATGACACAGAATCCAAAACAGAACTTTCATCAAACACCCGGCGGGCATCACTCATATTCGAGCAAACAGAAAAAAAATTAATCAAAGTATTTTGAACATAAACATCTGAATCAAAACCCAGCTTCATAACATGATTATGTACCTGTTTTCCTTCACCTTCTGACCGACGGATTGAACAAGCCTGAATCAGAAGCGGGTAAGTGTAATTATCAGCCTCCAGATACTTGAACAGCATCGATTTGTAAAGATTCAAAGCAAAATGCGGCGAGTTTCTTTGAATATAAGCTCTCATCATCATATTCCACATGAAGCAATTCGTGTTCTCAATCAGGTTGAAGATTCGGAGAGTGTAATCGATGTGAGTGAAGGGAAAATCCGTTGAGAACTTGATTAGTCTGCTTGCGGCGTAAGTGTCTCTTATTAACCCAGTTAGAAGCATCTGAGAGAGAACTTGATCGAATTGCTTGATGTTCTGACATTGCTTCATATGAAACTCCAAAATTGAAAGATCAATGGTGGGTTTGAAGGTGGGTTTGTGAATCAGAGATGATTTAAATGCAGAAGCAAGGAGGTTCGATCTGAAGAAATTCATATAACTCTTACCTTCAAACACCCGCGGTTGTTTCGCTAAACAATTTGCATCCGAAACACACACACAGTCCCTTCAATGAGGCGTAGTTCAATCAACAACTCTCTACGTTTCAATTATATATATATATATATATATATATATATATATATATGTCGTTTATTCTTGTCTTCATATTCTAAATCAATTTAATTTTAATCTTAGATTTTTGTAACAATTCACAAGTGAGATAATATGATTTTAGATTAAATTACAAAATTATGTTTAATAAGTTTAAATTTTATACTTACGCCACTAAACCTAAAATTTTTCAAATAAATTAATATAATTTGGTAGCTAATTAATCTTAACATATTCAAAATTATATATATATTTTTTTTTACATAATAATATATTAATCGAGATCAAATATGTTTATGAAATACAAGAATAAGTCTCATAAATAAAAATGACACTTAATTACAAATTTGAAAAATACAGAGAATAAGTCTATATTTTCATTACTAATTTTCGCTCTAATCTTATTAAAGTCCATTGACATCTGAATCATCTTTTTCTATTTATACGGTTATACCGAGCATTATTCAGTTCATTATTATTGTCTACCTTTTATTTTGGTTCGTTCTACACACCAAACAGAAAGAACAAAAGCTAAGATATTCATCGTTCCACTGTAATTAACATGTACTCGTGTTCGAATCATAAAAGATCTCAAAAAGATCTCACTCCACGTGAGTATGTATGTACAAAGCATGGGATATCATAATTATGGTGTGGGGATTTGATTTTATGTGGTTGTATTAGCTTTAGGTGTCCCATTTTTGTGTTTGGCTTGTCTTCTGCCGACACCTTCATGTTTCATGGCTAAGAGGTAGATGCATATTGGATGCACCACTGGTTGTTTGATTTACGACCGATAATCGATCGATTAATGTTTGGTTTTTAACTTAAATTGGCGTTGGTCACTAACCTATCAGCTTCCAATGGTTAGTTTTGAAGGAGTTCGTTACGTTGTTCAATCACACTAGCAGTTGACTAGTATCGATCGATGATTGGTTTCATAACTTCGACAAACTGGTAAAAAAATGTGTGAGGACGGGAAAAGAAGAAAAGAAAATATTGAGAAAGAGGTGATGGTCAAGATAGCAAAATAGATGTCATGCCAACTAATTCTCAATTATGTTTGATATAGTGTCCGTTTTTTGTAAAATCGCAAGCTCACCGCTAGTAGACATTATCCGCTTTGACTTGTTACGATTGTTGTCAGCCTCTCCACACACTTGTAAGAAATGTTTCTTTGCCCTTTCTAACCGATGTGGAATCTCACAATCCAATGGAGGCCAATGTCTTTGCGAGCACACCATCTAATGTCTAGCTTTAATAACATTTGTAGAAAACTCAAACCCACCACTAGTAAATATTGTCCGTTTTTTCCCATTTTTTAAATGGATCGATTTTTTTGGAAAATTCTTAAAACGCGTCTGTTAAGAAGAGATTTCCACACACTTATAAGAAATGATTCATTCACCCCTCTAACCGATGTGGGATATCATTATTTTGTTCGTTAATTTTGAGTTAAACAATAAGTAAAAGAGATTGACTCGAATTTCTATCATATATCTTAATCAATTGAACTGTGCTTAAGTTAATTTATTCCTAAATAAATGTTTCATAAATAAATATTTAATTTTACTTAAAAAACGTTTTAATTTTACTACTTATTCCTTTTTTTAGTTTTGATGAAATACACCGTATTAAAATGTTAAAATCGTCTCATTCATGTTAGTACTGGGAACGATATGCACATTAGTAATAATTATTTTTAAAAGATAATTATAAAAAAGAAAAAAATCATTCTATTTTTATTATTATTTAAAAAAAAAAGTATTTTTCAATGATTGTATTTAAAAAAAAAAAAAAAATCGTAGTTTATTAATCGGTAAGATTTAAAAATAAATAAATCCAAAGTTAAAAAGTATGAAAAATCATTTTTTTTTAAGGTAAGTCAACTTTTGCCATAAAGTTGTGGTATAAATTATAGTTTGAATAAGCTTTATTTTTATTAATTTTCTCTTAATTCAATGATTATTTTTTATAATGATGGTAATTTAATAAATACCGTTAGATGAAAGTGTCCCACATTGATTAATTTAGAGAATGATCATGAGTTTATAATCTAAGAATACACTCTCTATTGTAATGAGGTCTTTTGAAAAGCCCAAAGTAAAGGCATGAGAGCTTATGCTGACTGTGAAGAGTCTGTATTCGTTTAACAAATACTTGTTACATAAAAAATTACTAAAATACTTTATAAATAAGTATTTGAATTTTTAATTTTATTATATATATTATATATATATATATATATATATATAAAAGTGTAAAGACCTAATAAATATTTGTTAAAATTCGTCGATAAATTTGAAAAAAAAAACTAAAAATTAATTTATAAAACTATTTCTCTAAGAAATGCCAAATAATATATATATATATTGAAAATAGGGTTTATAATATTATTTTTTTAAAATTTAAAAATAAAAACTAACGAATTATCATAATTATCGAATAGAACGAGAATTTCAAAAAAATTGGAGGAAGAAAACGAAAAATTGGCGAGATGGAAATATCACCGGAGAAATTGATGAGATTGGGATTTGTGAAGGAAGTGGTCTCTCTGAATTCCAATGGGCCCCCGCTTTGCGGCTGGAAGAATCTCTCGCGCTTTTCCTTCTCCTTCTCCCGCTACATTCTACAGAGAGATTCTTCTTTGCTTCTCTCAATCCATTTTCGCTACAAATAATCTGTTGTTTGTTGATTTGGGTTACTGAAATTATCAAATTTTCTTTGAAATGTTAATGGAATCATAAGAACACTCCATCTCTTGCTTCCTCTTTCAAAAATCAGCAGCAGGAGGAAAAGAAGGCTCATATTGTTTGTTTCTTCTATCGCACTAATTCTATTCCCATTTTCGTAAGCATCCTTGTTTCCTCTTTTTCTCTTGCATTTAATCTTAGTTCCTATGCTGTTCATAAGTTTTTGTCTGCAATGTGTTTGTTCATTTGCTAATCATGTTGGTAGCTGTTTGAAGGTTGCTGCCATTCTCTCTTTTTGTGCATTTTCGTTAATTTCAGGTTTTTCTCGATCTGGATTGCTGTTTTCTTGAATTTCTTCGGGTTTGGTTTCTGAGTTTTCTCTTTGTTTGGTTTATACTATTTAATCATATTGATTTAGTCTTGCTTGGTTTTTGATGTTTTGAGTTGTCATTTTCTCTTACATTCCTACATTTTTGCAAGATTTTTGTAACATCTTTCGTTCGATTGCTGCCAAAACTCGGTTAGTTTAACTATGAATAATGAGTTCAAACGTCTGAATCTGTTCAGAGGTCTTAGAACTAAGTTCTGGGGCAAAATCCTTGCAGTTTGTTCATAGTCCATAGGGCTCTTCCTACTAATTCTTGAGGAGGCTTTGCCTGTTAGAAGACCAATCTCCAGGGATGATAAGTATTTCAGAGTATTAAGTTTTCAAAATCAAGGTTTGAACCTTTAACTAAATCGAGTTGACTAAATTGTGCTTGGAGCATTGATGTAACTTTTTGAGTATCAGTGAAATGTCTCTTTTTTTCCTCCTAAAGAAAGACAAAAAGGATAACTGTAAGGAGCGTTTGGTTTTTCATGGCTCGTTTAACATTCAAATTTTTGTTCCCTTTCTCTTTTCTCCTGCAACTTATGATTATTTATTTATAGAATAATTATTATTACATTTGTCTAATCATCAGGTGAATTCAATGATTCTTTCCTCTTCTTTTTATTTTTATTTTTAATTTTTAAAGAACTGGGGAATCAGGATTTCATTCCTTGCATACTCATGGCCCACTTCATAGATCTTCGAGAAGCTTTGCCCACTCCGAAGCCAACTTTAGAAAACAACAAGAATTTCAAATTAGTAATTTTTTTACCTAGGAATCGGAATTGAACTCATGAGAAGAGGATATTTGTAAGAGCCTAAGCCTACCACTAGCAGATATTGTCCTCTTTGGGCTTTCCCTTTCGGGTTTCCCCTCTAGATTTTTAAAACGCGTTTACTAGGGAGAGGTTTTCACACCCTTATAAGGAATGCTTCGTTCTCCTCCCCAACCAATGTGGGATCTCACAATCCACCCCCCTTTGGGGCCCAGCGTCCTTGTTAACACCCGTTCCCTTCTCCAATCGATTTAATGTGGGACCCCTCAATCCACCCCCCTTCAAGGTCCAGCGTCCTTGTTGGCATACCGCTTTCTGTCCACCCCTCTTCGGGGCTCAGCCTCCTCGCTAGTATATCACCCGGTGTATGGCTCTGATACCATTTGTAACAGCCCAAACCCACCGCTAGCAGATATTGTCCTATTTGGACTTTCCCTTTCGGGCTTCCCTTCAAGGTTTTTAAAACGCGTCTACTAGGGAGAGGTTTCCACACCCTTATAAAGATTGCTTCGTTTTTCTCCCCAACCGACATGGAATCTCACAATATCTTATGATATCCCAATTCTAAGGACCTTACTAGTCACACCATCGCCCCATGGGTTGTAAACTCCAAAAGTTTCAAAATTTCTATTCTTTCTTTATTTTCTGCTAGATCTTTGAATTATACTATGTTGAGAAACAATCTGAATTGTCATGGATGTTGTTCACTGCAGCAAACAAAATTGATCTACATAGTTGTAAATGTTGTTTGGCTTATTTTATATGATTTTTTTGACATTCATTCATTCCAATGTTTACTGGGTCATTGAAGAATGGGGGAACATTTTGTGCTGTTGGTGGATCAGTTGCTCACAGAATCAAACCTTGAAGCTACTATTGAGAGAAAAAACCGAAATTGTCGTCCTATGGCCTCAACAAGTGCAGATAACATGATATCTTCCTTAAATATTGATGTTGAATTCATGCCATCTTCAAGTAAACTTGTTCAGTGCAGAATTTGTCATGATGAGGACGATGAATCAAAAATGGAGGCACCATGCTCTTGCTGTGGAAGCTTGAAGGTTAGATTTGGTATACTCAACACCAATTAGTGCTACTTAATCAATAAAACTCAGATAGCTTTTCTTTGAATCCCTCGTTTCCAAATTATGACTGACTAAACTGGTTTCAACAATGTTCCTGTTGATATTTTCTGCACGTTTCCAAATTATATGACTGACTAAACTGGTTTCAACAATGTTCTTATCGATATTTTCTGCATTTAGTTTCAGTCCAACTTTATATTTTCCCCCAAATCTTTGCCCCGGATGTTATAATATGCTATAAACACTTGCTAAGGCAGGTCCCTTGGTTTATATTTACTTGTTGCTAGACTGAAAATGTTAGAATCAGATTCATATCTTTATTCCTCACTGTGTTCGTTTAGATGGTTCACCTTGATAATTAGCTTCCAGTTAGTGTTGATAATTACAGTATGCTCATCGCAAGTGCGTTCAGCGGTGGTGCAACGAGAAAGGCAATACAATCTGTGAAATTTGCCACCAGGTCTGTTGTTTTTGTTCAAATAAATGAAAAATTCTTTAATACATAACTAACTTTATGGTCGTAAGAAGTCGTTTTTCTTGTACTGCAGGATTTTGAGCCAGGGTATACAGCACCACTCCCTGTATTATATTATGGAGATATTACTTCACCAGTTCATTTCAGGTTAACCATTTACCTCTCTCCCCTCAATGCAAGTTTCTCTAGTTTGCATTGTATATTCACTTATTGTTCGTTTATTTTTTAGACACTATTGATATAATATCACTGTCGTCGAATTGTGTTCTTAGGGAAAGTTGGGAGATGTCTAGACTGAACCTGCATGTACCTGCAGGAATGCCTGATCACGAGTATCCTGATTCTGACTTTGATGAATTCTTCACTCCTTCTCCAAGAAGCATATTGTGCTGCCGCATGGTTGCAGTAACTGTATTCCCTACCTCTTCATTTTACTTCATTTCCAGTTTCCTTATCTCTGTAAACAAATTTAAATGGATTGATAATTGGCTTTGCCTTCTGCACATAAAAGAAGTATTAAATGTTCTTGCTCGTTGATTCTTTTTCATTCACTTGTGAAGGGAGCAAAGCAAACATAGTTTTTGGTTTAAGTTCGAACATTCGTTCTTATTTTAGTCTTTGAACTTTCTATTAAGACTTTGAACATTCGTTCTTCTGCATGAACAAGTGTTTGATTCACTATTAGTAAGTTAAAGTATTGGGTCTTCAAGCATCAACGAAAAGAATTTAAGTAGTCATGTAATCTAAGTTTCGGAGACGAAATAGAGTATTAGAAGTCGATGGATTAAAATATAACGTTTTGAAGCTTAAGAATGAAAATGAAACAAGCATCAAAGTTCATATCTATAATACGATTTAAACCTGTATTCGCCTTGATTATATTTGACCAACAATCCCGAGTTTGAAACTTCTAATCGTATCTGTATGTTGCAGTTTATCGTTCTTCTCGTTTTGCGCCATACACTTCCAATTGTAATCAGTGGAGCTGGAGAGTATTCATTGACATTGTTAATGGTAGGCTTGTTTTCTCTGTTTCCCCTTCTACTTCTCCTTCCTTTGGCCCTCTTCCATTGTTGAGACCAATGAAGAACCATAAGTTCATGTGCTGTATGTTTCAGCTGCTGATCTTGAGAATTGTTGGAATCCTTCTACCAATCTATGTCATGGTTAGAGCATTTACTTCCATTCAACGACGGCGTCATTATCAGGTTAGTGATGCTGTTTATGCCTGGATTATTCGTTTCATCGTAAGAACTGCTTGGATTTGTGAAGAGGTCGATGCAGAATAGACATGAATTTTGTTGGGCTATTCTGTTATACGGTGCCTCATATGTAGTTAAAGTGCATTTAAGGACATTGTTGATCAACTTGAACGTAACTCAACTAATTAAAGCATATATTACCAACCATGATGAACATACAAGAGAGAGTGCACATTCCTGAAAATTTGCTCTGGTTATCTATTATCGTTGAGCTTGATGTCTAGCAGTTGTTTACATTCCCTTGATACGACGTTTGAGTATACTAGTATGCTTTTGGTAGGATCCCCGTCTTCGCCTCGCGACACCAGAGGACGAAAATGACTCGACAAACCATGCTCAATCGCGCTTCATCCACGTGAGATAGCAGTACATTCACCTCGTCTCTATGACGGAACCAACGTAAGCATAACGACGAGATGGAAACTGGTTGGATGTAATGCATAGAAGGTCATCAACACCATTCATGGTCCTTGCAGCGAGACTCGACCACGACCATGACCACGACCACGACCACAATCACGACCCAGTTATTTTCTGCAGTGAAGTTCATCATCTGTGGGGAGGCAGCTGAAACTTCTTTGGTTAAAATCAAACTTTTTATGCAATGGAATCGCTGGCTCACTTCACTCACTACTCTTTAATGTATAAAGTGTGTAATGGTTAGGAAGGGAAATCACTATTGCTTTCATATTGGCTCTTGAAATTATAAGATTGTAATTAAATTATGTTCTTACCATAACAAATTTGATTATTTCGGACGTTTAAATCTCCATATATCGTTGAACTCAAAATAATTTTTTGAAACGTTTATCTGTTTGCCTATAAAAATTTTCAGTTTTTGAAATATTTATCTGTTAAATTGTAAAAATCTCCATCTTTCTCCGAACAAAATAGTTAGAATATTAAAAAAAAAAGTAAAAATAAATATGCATCAAGATATGATATTAGTCGAGTCGAGTAATGAACTTATTCTTTTCGATGTTCATACTCTTAAATGAATAACGAACTTATTCTTTTTTAGGTTCATACGCTAGAGATTAGATATTTCTTTAACTTTAAAAAATCATATCAATCTTTTTTTTTAAGAAGAAAAAAAAAAAAAGAGTCAAATTCACTGTTTGGTTCAAAGTAGGCCACAAATGTACATGTGAAATTGCCGTTTACTATCAGCAATGGAAAGATTTTCAAACAAACAAACAAAATAATTTGGATCTGTCATTCTTCGAGCAGATCAGATCCAGACTCAAATTCATCGTCTTCATCCCACTTTGCCCATCGCCATTTTTGCAGCTTCAAAGGTAATGTTATTTTCATTATTATACCAATCCTCCTCCCTCTCCATTGCAATACGCGCCACCATAAGCTCCGTGTTCTTTTACTTTCTCTGTACCTGATGCTTCTCTATCTGTTTCGCTCGTTTTCTTTTTCTTTTCCTATCTGGTCGATAGTTTGATTTGTAGATTCATTTCTGATTGCTGTGTAATTCAATCAATAAAATTTTGGAATTAGAAAACCCTGTGTGTTCTCTGAAATCGAATATGGCGTATGTTTGTCGGTGGGGTTTTGTGGTCATTGGTATCGATTGTGTCTGGTTTAGCTGTATGCCGAGTTGGTGCTTGGGCACTATAAAGATGAATTGTTTGTGTGATGTTCAATCTTATAGGGACAGTAAGAAGATTTTGTTCTTCTTAGTTCTGAAGTTAATTAGGTAATATTCAGGATTTAAACATGGATCCATGGAGAGGGGAGTGAACACTGTAGTTCTTGGTCCTTCCTTATTATCTTTAGTTCTTCTTTAAAAGCTCTGTGCGTACGAGGGCATGAGGAAGGTTGAGTGAAGAACTTCCTGTTTCTGATATTGGATGGTATGCTTTCCGTTGATGAAATATTCTCATGTTTAATCTCTGATTTCTGTTTGTCTACTAAGAGCTCTGGCATAATGTTGGAGGGTTGGCTCCGCCCATCTATAATTTGCAGCTCGCTCTTGGATTGGTCTTTAAATTTCTCGAAGATAACGAGTGAACGATGCTGCCAGTTCATTGGCCCCCGACGTAGAACTAATGATTTCTTGAATTTTACCCTGCAGGCTGCAATTTTATAATTATTGGAGTTGCTGCTTAACTGAGCTTTACTAGTTAATCATGTCTGAGCATATCAAAGAGACTGAACGGCTGGATGGAGATGGACATGTTGGATCTGAAGAATCTATGCCGTCGTCTCGGAAGGAGGTTTATAACTTCATACATAAGAATCATCTGCAATAACCTCTAAATTTTGTTACAAATTTACCAATTCGTTGAAGTTGGAGGCTTATTTTCTCTACAGGAGGAAGTTATAAAGAAAAAATATGGAGGAATTGTTCCCAAGAAGCCACCGCTCATTTCTAAGGTAATTTTTCTGTTCTAAAAAATTATTTAGTATTTCAGTAAGATGTTCAATGAGATCCGTGCATCCTTCCACATGGGTGTCTGAAGCTTTTGAATCTCGATTTCAGGATCATGAACGTGCGTATTTTGATTCTGCTGATTGGGCATTGGGAAAGGTATTTCTGTTGTATAACTTATATTTCCATTTTTACTTGATTCTGAAATCAGTTCGCATAACTTCACTAATTGACTAATATATCCTCCTTTATTTATCTGATTGCAGCAAGGAGTTGAGAAGCCTAAAGGACCTTTACAAGCTCTTCGGCCAAAATTACAGGTTTGTGTGTGCGCATGCGTGCAGATATATATATTAACAGGAAATGAAACTTTTCATTATATTATGCATATGATATTCATTTCAAGTAGAAAACTTTTGATATCATTTTAGGGTAGAGATCAAGTAGTAACTCGTGCTGAACGGTTATCCATCTCAAAATTTAGATCTTGACCTCTGGAATAAAGTATTAAGGCATAACAACTTAGTTTCCATTTTATTTTCTGGTTTCTAATTTTAGTGTCTAGTTATTTCATCTTAACCTCCATCTGTTAATAATTATAATAAGAACAACATTGTAATTTATTGGAAGAAAGCTGCAAGAAGCTAAAAAGTGAAATGTCTGTACAAGGAGATGAACCAAAAAGATAGAAAGAAAGAAAGATAGTGTGCAAAGATAAACCAGGGAGAGAAACGTGTGGGTGAAAGGAAGTATATATTTAAAAAAATATGTAAGACAATATGTAAACAAGGGATAAATTAGAGAAAGTGTGAGAAAGCATACATAAAGAGAGACAGATGGGGAAAAAAATATTGGGAATGAATTTGGACATTTGAAAGTGCAAGTACTAAAATAAAATAAGTTTCAAATTACATGAACCAATCAAGTACAGTGACACTGAAGAGGTTTGCTACGAAAATAAAAGCTTGCCGAGATGTCATGTAATAGCCCAGCTCACTGCTAGCAAATATTGTCCTCTTTGGGTTCCCTTCTGGGTTATCCCTCAAGGTTTTAAAATGCGTCTGTTAGGGACATATACCCTTATAAGGAATGCTTCGTACCCCTCTCCAACCGACGTGGGATCTCACAAGTCAGAAGTGAAGAGTAATTAGACATTATGATTGAAAATGTTGAAAATAAATAATAGACATGACTTAATTTTGAGAAGGATGGTGCTTCCATTATCATATCTGCTACTATTTTTGCACAAATTCAAGGATTACTTCTTACTATGACAAGATATCCATACAATATGATGAAATGAGTTGTTAGTCTTGTAATTTCATTTATTGCCTTCTTTTATTGTTCTATCATCAAGCAGAAGGACTTTATGTGATTGCAATTTTTCTTTTCTCTTACATAGCCAACACAACAGCAAACACGATACAGGAAGTCTCCTTATGCTCCATCCGATGGCGAAGGTATGCTCTACCGTTGAAACTTAGCTCAAAAGAATCAACCTCAATTAAGTAAAAAAAAAAAAACTCCACATATATAATCTTGGAATTTCAGATACCAAACTTATTTTTTAACCCAAAAAAGGAGAAATTGTTTGTTCATTCTCTGACAACTCTAATGTACTGTTATGATATCGATATGTATTTATTCATGCAGATGGAGAAACTGCTCCGAATGAATAGGCAACTTCGAATGACTGAACAACTACTGCTGGTACTTGTGCTTGTTGCAGTTTTTTGTTGTATCTCACTCCTGTTGAATGCCTGTTTAGGTATGAGCAATCTTCTTTTGTTTTTTAGAATACAATTGCTCGGGTCGGGTCTGGATCTGTTCTTGTGCTTACACTAAGAATATCTATTGTGCGGAGAATGGTATTCGACATTAATCTATTTCATATTGTCATATTGTGATTGATGATCGTTTACAATGGTATTAATGAAACTTTTGAAAGGTTAGTGGTACTTTTGAACAAAGAACGGACAATTTTCAAGGTTATTTTTTTAATTATTATATATTTTTTTTTGTTACCGATCACAAAAATAATAGAAAAAAAGTATTTAGAGACAAAAAAGAAAGGAAAATCCACAAGTTCATAATCTAAATCAAATTTCTTTTATTTTTAAATGGATGTCATTTTCAAAATCGATATGACTCGAGACTTATTAGTCAATAATCATTCTCCAAACGAGAATGTGTGATAATGATTTCTCATCCTCATTTTCATTTGTGATGAGTAAATGAAATCTGAGTCAAATTGATGAAAGAAAGAAGTATAGGTTAAAAACTTGAATTAAAAAAAAAAAAAGATGTATTAAACCCAAACGACTTAGAACTTACAGATGACGTTTTCTAATAAACACTTCATCACCTACAGCAATTTGTAACTCTTTCTGTGTAATACCAAAGCAACATAGTTATTTTACAATTATATGTATATTGAGGCTTTCCTCTCTCCAAGACAACACAATAATAAACCAATTAACAATGAAGTACATTGATATTTAAAGACAATAATTTAGTAATGATTCCATAAGAAAAATAATATCAATTAGTCAAATTCGCATATAGCGTGATTGGCAGGTTGTGATTCATGTAGTTTGGAATATAGTTCATAGTTGTATGTTAAAATCCTGAGGAAGGCATTGATTCTCAATATCCCACCGACAAGAAGCAGCAATTCAGCAATTCTCCACTTTTACTCCCCACCGTAATTACATCAGTTCCCTAAGCAGAAGCTAAAAAGTCTGAAAAACAGTTCGAAGTTATAACAAGAACACAATCGAGTGGTTTCCAAGCCAAAAGAAAAAAAAAGTTTTGACTATTGGGAGGCAAACTGTGGTAGGCTCAAACACTACAAATCCATAGATGTGTCTAACATTCAAAAATGACTTCAATCTGAGATGACAAGCTAACACATAATCAGTTCCTAAGAAATGCCACTGTGGCAACGCGAGATCCCACAGATCCTCCAAAGGTGAATGTCGGGTAGGTACGAACATGATTGAGGTATTGAAATGTAGGCGATTCTCTTTGTGTTCCATTGGACGACTCTGATTCTGCAAAGGAATTAACCCTTCTTTGATTGAAGTTCTCAACTTCTTGCACAAGTTCATCTTTTGTACTGTTGCAGGAAGTGATCACCTACAGCAATTAACAATGGCAAGTCAGTTCACATTGCAGTTTCATCAAAGGATGCTACATGTCTATGCACAAGCTCCAACAGAACGAAATATAAAAATTTGCCAAAGGAGATGCAATGTAAAATGAGGAAAGTCACAGAGCTCACACGCATTGAATTTATCTCACGATATATGAAATATATAATAAGGGGAAAAGAAGAGCCTCGACCCAAAGAAGTTGCAATATTACACATGACCTTTAATAAATGTTTC